TAAGAGGAGAGGGTGTTCATTATTCATTTTTGTGGGAGAGCACAGGAAGGTATAAAGAACCTGGACTGAGGGAAACCTCGGCCAAGTTCCCCCACCACCTGGGCAGGGGTCCTTAACCTCTCTAAGCACCTGCTCCTCTGGTAAAATGGGGCTAATGTTACTTCCATAATAACAATGGGGAACAAATGTATCGCTTTTGCAAACTGCAGGTGGAGGCTAAGTCCTCAATAAATGGTAGTTATTATACTGCTGCTTCATGGAAGTTAAAGTTCTCTTTCCCTTGTCAGGGCTGCAGGGACTCCAGCACTCTGTTCTTCGCGGCTCTGAAATCCAATTCTGCTGGCCCGCCACTGACAGATGAAGTCCTAGACTTCCCTTCTGCCAGCCTTGGTACCTGCCCCAAAAGTTCCCATCCTGGTCCAAACAGATGTCTGGCAGAGCCACATGCAGCGCGCAGAGGGGGTGCTCCCCACAGGCCGTCTCTAAGACATCTCACCGGGGAGACGGGGCGCCGGGCCTCCGCGAGCTCGACATGGGCAGGCAATTCAAAGCCCTCACAGCGCCTGGCTTGGGCAGACTGGGTCCCAAACCGATGGCCCTGGAACATCTATTTCTAGGAACGGACAGCTACACACAACACTTACATCTTCACGGCACTGAGACAAATTAGCTTTGACCAAGAATGAAATAATAACTGAAAGGTCAGAACGAATTACATTTTGTATCTGTACCTTAGTGAAAAAGAAGCAAGAACATCACCCCTGTTTGATTCGTAGAAAAAAAACTCCATCAAGAATAAAGAGTACTTTCTTCCTGAAGGCTGTTTTCTCTCAATCTTGACTTTTCAGTTCAAAGCTAGGCTGGGGGCATAGCGAGGGCGGCCACAGAAGACCCCGAACAACCAGAGTGGAGGGGAGAACTTCAAGTTTACCGCCACTCACTCACTGACTGGGAAATGACTGAAGAAACCCCATTTCCACAAAAGAAAACTGAACTACTTCACGAGATCCATTTCCTACGGCAGTTTTACAAATAGGAAGATGCAAACCCCCATATCATATTCTACGCATATTTTGGCTAGGTAGCTCTTCAAAGGAAATAATTAACAGTTTATTGTAAAACAATGACCAAACGTAATGTGTTCTCTGAACACTGACTAATAAAAGCCATCCAAACTCACCTGCGGTTAAACAGAATCTTCAAGCAACTTCACTTTAAAGTAAACATCTTTCTTGGCTCAACTCTGTGTGTATTTCCCACTGGACCGGAAGCCCCTTGAGGAAGGCGCTGAGGTGCTGAGGGTCTGGGTCGGGTTCGTCACAGCATCCCCTTTGCCTGCCTCAGAGAAATGGCGCTACAACCATGTACTGAATTTAATGTCCTAAACAACATCACCAGTCTCCTTAAGGGCTGCCTGAATGCTCCAAGGAAGTGGAAAAGAGAATCTTTAAAATGTTGTTTTCAGAACCTCTTAATCATATTATACGAATACTTTGAAAGGACAAGCTTTGCAACTGATAGTCCAAAATTTTCAATGTCCGCATAAGCAGAAATGCCACTCCGGGGGAAAGATCAGTTATGTGTTTCTCAACCTCTTTCAGCCACGTGGGAGTTCAAGTCAACGGAATTTCATTCTGTTTGGAAAAGGTTTACAGGGTAATGAGCCCAAAGTAAAAGCTGTCTTGATTACTCTAGGCCTTACTTAAGATGTTGATCCCCTGTAAGCCTCGGCTTATTAATTGGACCCTATTAAATAAACGTATTTCTTTTCTAGCGTGGCCTGAGACAACTGGCACGCATATCGGCACGACGGCGTTTTTAACCTGGCCTGCACTGCGGGCCCTGGGCTCAGTTTACTCTTCCCAATGAAGCCCATGCATGATCTGCTCCATTAGCTCAACAAATATTTCAGCGAGCTAAAGCAGCTCTATAATTTGAACAAATAGTTGGCTTTTACAGGATTTACGCTCATTGGCTCGCTAACTGAATAATGTGTCAACATAACAAAACAGTTGTCTCTTGCTATCTGGGAGAAGTAACATCTCCCCTGGGCAGACAAGTCCATTTTCTGAGATTCTCCCCTAAGGGCAGGGGACCGGACAGCAGCCCCAGCCTCTCTCTGAAGTTGGCTGCGGCGCCTTTAGCGCTGTTGCTTTCGCGTTTAAAACTGTGGAAAAGACAACGTAAAACAAGGAAGCCCACGGAAGACTATAGTGACTTCAAATAATTAGCTGGAAAGAAAAAGTCACTGGTGATAAACCACTGTCTAACTTAACTCTATGTTTCTCATTCAGATACTAAAAATACAAATCTAAAGCTCTTTTTCACCAGTACCGAAGACTGGTGGTCGCATGGATCACTGCAAAATGAAGTAGAAACCCTCGTCAGAACACATCTGACCATTACCCTTAACCAAAAGAGTGAAATCGCACTGGTCTTTTTGAGTCACTGCGTTGAGGCATTTTCACATGCGACTAACCCTCACCACATCTAGAAATCCCCCACCCTTTCATCTCCACTCCAAATCCAGCGGCAAGGCCACTAACTGCCAGGCAAGGGTAGGAGAAAAGTCTGCACATGTTCTACCTGATGTTTAACATGTAAGGGCTAAGGAGCCCACAGAGCGGTGGTTACTATGTAAACAGTCACGTTAGGAAACTCAAGCCAAAGCCATTGAGATACATACAAAACAAACGAGGATCCCTGGAGGAGGTTCTACAGGCATAATTCAAGAGTATTTTAAAAATAGCAACAGAATATCAATAACTAAAGAGCTGTTTCCTAAAATTACTCTCAGTTGATATCTCTCATTTCTAAAATGTCAGAAGAAACATGCTCACAGTCACTAATTCTGCTGTATTAGAAAAAGGCTTCACTAAAGAACACCTAAAACAAAGGCATTTATACAAGGAAGTGAATACCCAAACACGTAAGTACCTTCTTAAGAACACTAAAAAAGCAGAAGTCACGTTAAGTTCGAAACACCAAGGGGAAAAAAAAAATGAACACAAGTTCCTAACTTTAGAAATATCATATATCTCACAACACTCCCCAAAAAAGACGGCACATGAGTCAAGATTTATTGAATTTACAGACAGAAACTCTATGTATTTAGGGTTCCCTGACCTTTAGGAAGAGCGGGAGAAAGAGGAATTAAGCATTTTATACCACACTTATAGAAATATAGAGTTTTTTTTTAAATAAAATTCAGGTTGGGGGGGTTCTTGTTTTACTTCGTTTCCCATTCACTGGAAATTTTAAACAGCACTGATTTTTCAATGAGCTTCAGATCCTTCAAGTCTGTAACAGGAGTGTTAATTTCAAAACACTCCAAAAAGTCTGCGCTCTTGCTCTTCCCTGATTTTTACGGCTTGGCATTGCTTTTCAGAGAGCCCTCCCTGCAAAGCCAACCCGATGCGTGGGCGGGCGAAGAAGGGCCAGCAAGCCAAAAGGAATTAGCAAGTGTGTGTTCATCTGCACAATTTAGCTTTTCACAACAAGTAATTCAAAGGGGCTGATATTTTCTATGTTGTAGGGCTTGGGCTCATAAGTGGACCTGTAAAAATAATCTGGTGACCACTTAGCATCAAAAGAAAGATTTTTTTTCTTACATCTAGATAACACTGAAGCAATCTTGGGTGTATAAGGCTACAAGGTCTGAGGCTTTCCAAAGGAGAATGGCTTAGGTTTAGATTCCAATATTTTACAAGACTGCGTGGCCTCAAATTCACCATAAAGAAGAGATCTCTCTTTGTCAATTCCACCAAGAGCTGTTTAGTGTCAAGAAACCACATTTGCTGTAGGACTCATGATGGTGCTAATTAGGTAAGAAACTCAGGGCGGGGAGACAGACTCCAACCCTAATGTTTAACACACTATTAGAAAATCACTAGTCACCTGACAAAGAATCTCTTTTGGGGTTGTGCTAAGGATATAAATTAATGATGTCTTTACTAGCTCATCAATAATAAATCCTTCTCAAGATAAAATTACAGCTTGATAGCCAATGTCAACCCAATAAATTTAATTAAAAAAAATGTTTTTAATTACAACTTGCTAAGCCCCTTCCCAATTCCATGGGGCCTTTCATCTGGTCATTTAAACAACAAATTCTTGTCTGGAACCACCCATTCAATGTGCGTTTTTAAGTGAATCCTATTTCAATCTTTTAACGAAGTGTCGCCAGTAGACCTGTAAGTTGAGGGAAGCTGCTCGGGTGACACACTTAGCACCCAAAAGGAAACTGAGTGGGTCGCAGTTCGCTGATTACTGCCTGGGACACAGGAGGAAAGAAAAGGAGGGGAGGAAGCTGACGACTTGTCGGAGCTCGAGGAGAGCAAGCCCTGAAACTGCAGTGTAAGTACCTGGGACAAAAGGCACTATGCCGGCCTGCGCTGCCGCGCGAAGGAGCCCAGAGGGAGCTGAGCAGAGGACGGAGTTGGGAAGGGGGACAGCAGGAACCAGGGAAGGAACGGCCAGGATGGATGGAGCACAAGGGAATGACAGGAATGGGCAGAAGGGGACCAGAAGGATGAGGCTGGATGGGGAGAACAGGAATGGGGTAGAAGGAATGACAAAGATGGGGCGAGAGGAACCGGGATGGGGAAGGAGTGAACTACAGCAAGGAAGAGGGAGGAACCCATAGGGATGAGGCCAGAAGGATAGACAGGAATGGGGCTGGACTGAGAGACAGGGATGGGACTGAAGGGGGCGACAAGTATGGAACTGATCCGGCGAAGTCACAACCACATCCTACCAGCCCCTTGCTGTAGCGCTCGCCGAGCGCGCGGGGCACTTTGCTGCGCTCTCTCCCCGAGTCTCCCCAAACAGCCCTCCGCTGCCCCGTTTCTGAGACGGGAGCCACGAGGCCGTCCCCGCAGCGCCCACTCCCCGAAGTCGCGGGCCGGGGAACAGCAGTAGCCGAGCTCCCGAACCCTCCCGGACGCAGGGGGTCGCTGGCGGCCGCTGGGGACGGCGGCGCGGACCAGGGGAGCCGGTACCTGGGCTCGGGCAGGACGATCCTCTTGCTGGCACGGGCGGCCGGGGTCGCCTTGCTCTTTTCCATCGCCATCAAGTAGCTGACATCGGCCAGCACGGCCTCTAGGTCCGCCATGTTGGCGAGTGGTGGTGGCGGCGGCGGCGGCGGTGGCTCCGGCTCCTCAGGACCCGGACGGGACGCGCTCCCGCCGCCGCCGCCCGCTGCGCCCCGACGTGGGGGGGCCGCCCCGGGGCAGCCCCCCCGCGCGCTCTCGCCTGCGCGCGCCCCTTCGCGCGCGCTTCCCCCGCGTCCCGCTCAGCGCCCGGCGCGCGCTGCAGCCTCGCGCCCGCCGGGGTCACCGCGCCCCGCCCCCCGCGCGCGCGGCCCGCGCACGCGCCCCCGCCCCTTCCGCGAGAGGGGTCGGTGCGGAGAGCGCGCCCAGCGGTCAGTGACCCTCCGTGCTCCAACTTGCTGGCCAGGCCCTCTAACACTGTGCCTCCTGGCAAGATCCCCACAGGCACCGTCCCGCCCTCCCCTGGGTGGCCACGAGGGACTTCCTCTACTCCTCCTCCTCCGGACTTCCCGCCCCCTGCTCCTCGCGCTCTCACGCCCCTTTTTCCCCCAGGACCACTGCAAGTCGGACTTGCGCGGACCCGACGCCTACCACCCAAGGGGCAGCGGGGAGGTCTCTGTGCCCTGGACATGGTAGTTCTCAAACTGGATAGTTCAATCAGCATTCCTTCAGGAGGTCTGGGGTGTCCCCAGAGATGTCCCCACAGGTGATGCTGCAGCCGTGGTCAGGGTCGCTCTTAACAGAGCCCCCAAACCTCCTCTCGACCCTGAACATCCCTTCTGTGAACTCAGCCAAGAGAAACGCAACAACCGGAGAAAGTTGCTTGTCTCAGGCCAAGAAGAGCAAAGTGGGGTGAGAGCTTCCCCTGGGAGCCGAGCCGCCCTTACTCGGGGAACCCATGGATGGAAGACCGTCTGCTCAGGGTGGTCCCCGCTCCATTGCAGCCAGGCGAGAGACAGGTTTGAGTTTGTTTATTCAAATAGTCACTGAAAACTAGAACTAGTATTCCTGCTGCTGTCGTTGTCAGTTCAAGACACCTACTGTGCATGCCGACCCACCACAAGGGTGATTTAGGGAAGTGGAAAAGCTCGAAGCTGAAACACCAAGGCAAGAGGGAATTTCCAGCTTCCTGATCCTCAGTCTCAGTGTCTGGTTACCACTCCCCACGTGGGCCTGGGGTTTTCATTTGCTTCTTACTTTTCCACAGCGGTATACACTCTAGTGTGCATTCAGAACCCCTGTGGCACGCTGGAGTGGCATTAAGGGATAATACCCAGAAGCCTTCAGAAGACTTGAGCTGGGAATTAATTAATTTTTAAAAGTCCCTTTAATTCATTTGCATCGATCACATTGCACCATGAGCCTAGATTTTACCAGGATTTAAGTAAATGTTCTGTCAGTTACTTACAGGGTTAAAAGTGCCTACCAGAAATGGTTAAAGTCAAATTTTGGACAGTACACGTAACGACCCCATAGAAGCGGCCTGAGCTGGTCCTCACAGGAGCCCTGCCCTCTTTTGTTTTCTCTCTTTCTCTCTCTCTCTCCCTCTCTCTCCCCCCACGAACAGCGCCCCCCCCCATCTGTTCCCTGTCTGCCTGCCATCACAATTGGCCAGTTTTACCAGACATTTCTCAAGATCCACAGCACAATATTCGTAAAATTGACCAGAAAAGGACAAGAGGGGTGTAAGAAGTATGAACATGAGTCAAAGGAGTTTTGTTGGGCAGCAGAAACGCTAAATGACCAATGAGCACAAATATACAAGAATGAGACCAAGATTTGCATGAGCCAAATATCAAACTTTCATCTTCCACCCACTTCCCCCCCCCTAAAAACAGGAACACAGAATGTCTTGTCAAGGGTCACCCCAGAAGGAGGGGTAAGTTCCCAAAAAAAGCCAAACACATTTAGAGACTTAATTCATACTTCTTTCAATATGTCTTTTTATCATTCAAGCTTCCTCATGATCAGATCATCAAATAAATACATACTTCTGCCTGCATTTTCATGGTCCTCCAAATACTGAGACTTTTCAACGTGCCTTGGACTCAGTGAAGAATTTTCTTATTTATTTATCTATCTATTTTTTGGTGACAGTGGTGGATTATTTTGCTTTTGTTTTGTTTTCAGGAGTGTTTGTTTTGGGGGCGCTGCAGCCTGGTGTGTAGTAAGTTTGGAACAAGAGAGACACCTGAATTTAAATCCCTGCCCTGACTGGCTGGGTGATTTTAGAGGCAACACGTTACATCTCTGCACTTTACTGTTCCCTTTCACACTGGGGCCGCTACCCCCAGGAGTGGTTGACAAGACAAAGGAGGTAAGACATGGAAACGTGCACCTTGTCTGACACCCATGAGGTCTCCAAAAAAGATTATGGCACTTCTGTTGATTTTGCTTTATTTTACCCTAGCATGCTAGATACTCAAACTATACTTGAAGCCGGAAGACCCCTTACCAAAAATAACATCTCCCTGGGGCATTTCTAGGAACCCAAATGGGCAAAAATGATGAGCCTTAATAAACATAAGCAACTGCTCTTTTAGAAGAAAGAACACGGAGTCCAGAATTGGACCCTCTCCACCACTGAAGTCAGCAGACCAGATCCCCCCGGGGGGTCTTTCCTTGGTATTAATAGTGTGCCAGCCTCCGTTCCCTGGTTCCCTCATTTGTCCTGTCCCTTTCGCCACCGCCCTCTCCTCTTTCTTCCCCTGGACTCTCTTCCTGCCGAACAGTTTTGTGTTCACTGCAAACAAAAGGCACTAATGACAGTGGTGCAGTTGTCATAACTGACCTGCTGGATCCTATTGCTAAACACCATCCCTAGCCTGCCATCTTTCCGACGACGAGAGCAAATAAATAGCCACCCGTTTGTACTCAGCCAATACAATGTTCCCTGGAAAATAAGCTTCCTCCCTCCCCCGTCCCCAGACGATTTAAATGACTTTGGGCTCCTGCTGCTTGTGATAATAGATAAAACTCCAGACTCTGAATATTCTCTTTTTCTCTTTTCTAGGGCTTCCCTTGATGAGGGGAGGTGTTGCAGAATGGAGGCGCTCAAGTTTATACGACTCTCCGGGGTTAATTTGGATAGCAGCTTCAGAGGAAAAAGCTAGCTGGAGAACTAATGCGGCTTATCTGGGTTTTACTGGGACTTCCTACTTACAGTGAGAAGTCTCTGTATTGCCAAAGCGGGGGAGGGGGACTTATACTGGAAACTAATCAAGCATAAATGAAAAAAGTCAACTCTAAGACTCCAATTAGAAGATTTCTGACTGGTGAATATACTTCACCTTAACTCATTAATATCACAATATTTAATCCAAGCCCTGCGAAGAGATAACTTGATGTTTGTGGTAAGGAGTCTCCTAAATCTAGTGGCTTTTCAAGGAGACCACACACAATTGGGGTTGGAATGAGTTTACTTCCAAATGTTTCGCTCTGTAAAGTCTGCCAGGCCACTGTCCCATCTCACTTGTATCTTTCGATCACATTTCTGCTATTGCCACACATGTCATGTGAACTGCTTTCATGCTATTTTAACAGCAAAGCTTTACAAACGTTAAAGGTGGCTCTATACATAGCAACTCAATACTTTAAAAGACCTGCCAGAAGGTAAGAATCCAAGCTTTCGTTTACAGAGCACTGAAATCACGTTCGACACAGAAGTACCTTCCTTGAAATGTGTGGGTGGAAACAAATTTTTCTACGGGAGCTCCTGGCCTGGGAGTCCCCCTCGAAAGAGAAGCCAAGCCGTTGAGAGTTGTGGTTCAGGGTGTGGGCTCAGAAACCAGATGGCCTGACTTAGAACCCCAACTCCAGTACTTTCGTGCTGTGTGACCTTAGACCGGCTGCTTGAGGTCCCTGTGCCTCCACTCTCTCTCAGTGGCATTAATGGGATTTCTATGAGAATAATGTGGTGACATCTGAAAGCACTTTGAACAGTGTCTGAGACATAGAAAGCACTCAAAAAACATCATTATCATTATTATCCTCCTTGTCGGAGTATCTCTGCACGATGTAAGGCATGATGGAAAAGACCAGTCCTGGGAATGAAAAAACAGAGCTGGATGTGACTGGCTGGCCCTGGCATCACTGAGTAATTATAAGCAAGTCTCTTAAGCTTTTTAAATCTGCCTTTCCACCGCTGCTTAATGAAGGGATTGAATGAGCTGGTCCCCGAGGTCCCCTCAAATTCTAAACTTGTCTGGCTTTATTTAATCCTGTGGTGAATCCCTTTGCAAGGTGAAGAATTCTCGTACCCTTCAATAACAGCTCGGAGTTTCAGTTTTTACAGTATTAGGCAATACCTAGAGCATTAATAATTCTTACTGTCTTGAGGCCCAGATGAGGTGAGCAATCCATCAGCAGGCTTCTAGAAACAAGAACATTTGTGTCTGTTCCTTGGCCTTCTGCGTGCACCACACTAACCTTGCTCAATAAATATGTATTGAATGAATAAGTGAACAAATGAATGAATGACATGAAAGACTGGAGATCATGTGCCTCAAAGCCTCAGCCCTCTATCGGAAGCTAATCTAAAGAGAGAGAGAAAAGAACGCTATTGAAAACCACAAGTGCCCACTAAAGAGTGTGCATCCCGGTAAAGGAAGGGCCCTCACCGCAAGGTCCCTGCTGGTCCTTGCTGCTGCTAATGGCCTAGAAAGCTCTCCAGGAGCTGAGACCCATGACGTGCTTGGGCTATGCAAAGGTGGGTCTGGCAGCTTCTGGCTTGGGGATGGAGACAGCAAAAATCCTTTGACGTGGAGGAGAATTGGAATAAGGAAGTAAGGAGACCAAGGAGATGATGGCCTGAGGCCAGGCACTCCATGGGATGGGCGGCCAGTAAAAACCCGTGGAGGGTGGGGTGGTCCAGAGAACACTCAGAAACAGGAAGTCGATCGCCTGCGCCATTTTAAGTATGCTGATCTGCACACAAATGTCATGCCTTTCTGGTGACTCTTACAACTTCATGACTCGCGTTTGCGAGTGCTTTGATGGCGGGTTGCAGGGGAGGTGTGGAGCCAGAACCCACACAGGGATCTACGCTCCTGATAAAGAAACAGCTCTAAGGCCTAGGGAACAAGAGCTCAGCAGAGGCAGGCAATCAGGATGAGCAATGACATTGGGAAAGTGGGTTCCCCCAAATCCTCAGACACTCAGAGTGGGCCTTGGCTTTTCTGCGGGACTGGCAAGTCCACCTGTCTCCCTCTCAAGGAGCAAGAAGATGACCTCTGGATATACAAGTCACGAAAGGCCAGAATGTTTCTGCATTGGCAAGTTA